ATCAATTAATCAAATTTGTTTAGATTAAAAAAAATTATTGTTGGGCTTTGGGCCGATACGAAATTTGTTTTGACATCTAATATCAAATGTGGACTATTTGTGTGGTTTTGATTGGGAATCTCAGTACAGACCCAAATCAAGAGTAAATAAAGAATTTGTTTAGAATGTGAATATTGAAATGATTTGTTGAAATAAATCATTAGAATAAATGATATGAATTAAATGTGAGAAACCTTTTTGAATAAAGATCAACTAAATCAATTTTTACTCTGTCAAAGTCAAACACCCAAAAATATGATGTCAGAAAAAGTATAACCAATAAATATAAAAATTATATCGTTGGATAGAGTTTAACTGTCCGATTGCAACGGTGCAAACGGAATTCAATTCGGAGAAAGTTGGACCAAAAAGTGTACCCCGACTGGAACCAAATTTGTCCCAATCAGGGAGTGGCGTGTAAAATCCTACAAATCGCTGCTCACTCCACTCAGCCGATTACACAGGGAAAGGAAACAACGTAAATTTTGCTCCTTCCCCATCACCATTCCTATATAAGATAACCCAAGCTCCTTCATCTCTTCACCAAACCTCTTCATTCTTTATTCTATTCTGTTCTTTGTTGAGAGAGGAGTATAGTGGTGCTATCAATTTGGTGAGAGGTCGCCGGAGCTAACCACAAACCTCGCCGGAAGTTTCTCCGGAAAATATCCAAAACCTTTGTTAAGCTTCGAGGTAAGCCCGTAGATATATCTAGTGACTAGAATGTTCGTATAGATCGTTTCTATGTTCATAAACGGTCGTTTGATTGAGTTTTGTGTTTGACATGCTTGAAGAACCAAGAATCATAAACCATGAAATTGATGTTAAAACTATGAATTAATGATGCTAAAATGATCCATGAACATTGGAGAACATCTCTATATAGTTTCGTTGAAGTTCAGTGACTAAAAACGGTTTTTCCGAAAAATGGACTGAAGGTTGAAGAAGATGAACAGTAACCTGAAACTTCCCTGTCTGGATCGAGCATATGGCTTGGATCGATCCTCTGGGAGTAGTTTTTCACATCATGGATCGATCCAGAGGGCTGGATTGATCCCCCGAAGTTCTGATCCGAAAATTTGTCTGAAATTGCTATTTTTGAGCTCTAAAATCCTATTTTTGATACCAATGGATTATGATCATTATAAAAATGATTTACCATAATAAAAATAATGTTTTTAACAACTAAAAATGTTATGTGTTGCATGACGGTAAGTTCAGGTGTTAACACTCGAAGCTAGGCCGCTATTTGTTATCAGTTGTTGTGTTATTTGATGATTATGATAAATGAATATTATGGATGATTATGAGTATTGAACCTACTGATTAAAATAAGTATTTATGATTGAATCATGAATAAAATGAATACATTTATAATTATGAAATGATTTGTAGTGTTAAGGGTATCTAGAAGAACTCTAAGGTATACATATTTAGAGAATTGATGTTAAGGCTATCTAGAAGACCTCTAGAATAGATCTCATATTAGTATGGATTTGTGAAACATGAATATTCGATGAATTAGATAAAAATGCATAAACGGGATTCATAGACCAAGCTAGAGGATTACTCGTTTGGAAATGCCCGATCCAATGTTGATCAATTGCTATATTGTTGTTGCCTTAACTGACTACAGTTAAGTGTCCGAAATCATTTACCTTAAACTAATGACAGTTTAAGTGTCTGATTGCCTTAAATGACTACAGTTAAGTGTCCGAAATCATTTGCCTTAAACTTATGATAGTTTAAGTGTCTGATCAATAATTGCCTTAAAAGAATCTCGTTATGGAAGTTATGATTTGGCCTTAGACTAAGAATAGCTAAGAACATTATTATGATTTGGCCTTAGACTAAGAATAGCTAAGAGCATTATTATGATCTGACCTTAGACTAAGAATAGCTAAGAGCGTGGTTATGATCTGGCCTTAGATTAAGAATAATTTAAGAGCACTATTGAAATAGTATCTGAATTGAATAAAATGTGTTGATATGAACTGAATAATATCAAAACTGTGAATGTCTGAAACAAACACTGTGTGCATGATATCAAAAGATTTGATTATGAATTTAGATTCAGTTTATATGGATGTTCGACACATTAGATATGCTTACTCAGCTTTACCGCTGAGCGTGTAGTGTGTTTTATTTGCTACATGCAGGTAAATAGAAAGATTAATGTGATTCTGGTGGCAGATGGGGCGAGATTGTCGGGATGGATGTGACAAGTTTGAAATGATTTATGATATGTCAAAATTAAATTTGCTTCCGCAATATTGTTGAATACTCCGTACTGTATGTGTTATGAAAAATATTATTGTGATAAATAAAAGTGTTTGAAAAGTTTTAAATTTTTACGATTACCAAGTTAAATACTTTAGTCTGAAAGGGGCTGCAGACCTGGACGGATTAGGGTGTTACACCGCAGGTAACCATGCGGGCCGGGCTCAGGCCTAGAAATTTTTGTAAAGTAGTGTCTCGGCCCGGCCCGCACTTTGATCAGATCTAATCTTGATATACATTCTCTTACATAATTGTTCAGCTAGTTCGAAAGGCATCATCGGGATGAACTCATCCCTCATAAATCACAACGCTGCACCAAAATAGTACTCTCTTCATCTCTATATGTTTTTACAAGTTACTTTTCACAAAATCAAACTTTATTCATTTTTTTAAAACTTATTTTCATTAGTTTTTAGATAAAATAAAAAAGGTTTATTACAAGTTACAATTTGTTTAGTAGAACTATTGAAGAAAAATGCCAACCCCAAAAAAGTGTATCCCTAATATACACAACTCCATCACCATCACACAATTTTAAGTGTGAAAAATAATTAAAAAATGAAAAAAATTAATGGTTATTAGGGGTGGGCAAGAATCTCGAATCTATTATTCCAACCAAAAATATCCTGGGCTTGTCCTTATAATGTTCTCCTTTGTTAGGAATGACAAAATTTTGTCCCGAACCCGTTCCGAACCTTTTAAACAGGACGAGATTGGGACAAATTAATATTCTCCAGTTCTGTCTTACTATCCAATATTTGTTTATTTATATTTTATTTATTTAGATAATGATGTAATACAAAAAAAGTATCACAATTTTTATTTTTCCCAAGATAGATACAAACAAATATTCACATTTAATTATTTTAAGACTATGATTGAAGCACCTAAAAATGCAGACCGTTCTGACTCGTCTCGCCCCAATCTGTGGCTCATAGTTTTTATGAAGCTTATAGTTTTAAGTTTTGGCGTATGTTGTAGCAGTTTTTCATGTTGCCTTATTGTTTTGGCTTTTGGAAGACATTCTAAATAAATATATCATTTTTTCGGTACTTTACAAGTCAAAATGAGTTGTCTCCCCTTTATGTTTTTTTATTTTTATATCTAATTTCAGACAATGACAAAGCAGGACAACCAAACCCGTTCTGTTTTATCTCGATTCTAAATATTAAAGAACAAATAGGGATAAACTTGTGACTCGAACCGTTCCAAATCGTCCGAAAGAAATGAGACAAAACGTGGGACGATATAAAATCACAACCGTCCCTTCCCGCATCCATCCATAATGGTTATGATTGGGAGTCTGCATGATTTTTTTGGACTTTCAAAATCTGAGGATATTCAATCTAGATTTTATAAAATCTTTAAAAATCCCGAGGTATTCAATTAAGATTTTAAAAAATCTCAAAAATTCTTTAGATATTTAATAGTCAATGAATTTTAATACTCTATAGACTTTCCTGGATTGTCTCACAAAATAATGCTTAACTCAAATCCCTTCTCAGAACATCAGATTTCTATTAACTTTTGTACAAAGCAATGTTGTAGACGTAGATCTGGTTTGCTCGGAGGGAGTGGCTGCTTCTGCCGGTTGACTGGGACTAACCAGGCACCGGGGAAGCCGTTGTTGTGTGTCTGCCTTTGTTATCGCTGAGGGAGGGCTGCTGGAGTGCCGCTATCTTCGGACGGTGAGGGTGCTGTCAGGGAGGAGAAATCCGGCACAGAAGTGGGAGTGGATCGAGTTGCTGGTACCTTCACCGGATTGGGTTGTTGTCGCCGCCAGGGGTAAATTGTTGGTTGCCGCTACAAACTTTTGCACATATCTACTTTGAGCTTGATATGAATAAATTTTCAGAACGCTAGTGTAGCATGTGTTTAGGGCGCTGTCGTTTCCAAATCTATTTTCCTATACAAATTTTTTAAAAATGATGGAAAACTGAATTCTATCACAGCACCAAATATGTCCATTACAATAATACAACATGACCACAAAACTTTGTATCAGAAATTCTATTCAACCTTCCTATCCCGTGACAGACCAGCCAGAGTGAGAGAGACGAGAGTTCTAAGAGGAGAAGATCGGATAATGGTGTCCTGATTCAGTTAGTAATCCAAATTTTCAATGGTCTATGAAATTTATGAAATCCATGTAAATTCAATAGAAAAGTTGGAGAAACTCTACATAAAATCTATGGATTTTCTAAATTCACTAATTTTTTAGAATCTAAAAAGGTCCTATACAATCTCAATTGAATACACCTCCAATGTACACCCATCAATCCCTAGCATGACTCTCTTTTGAATGAGAACACATATTTAATTTTAAAAGTACACCAAAATGAGGCAATCTATTTGAATACCAAATATTCAAATACATACAAAGATACATATTGTATGTGTACTCAAAATATTACGAGTTTAAACATGTCTTTAAAGGTTTGGCGTACAAATAAAATAAGTTTATATAAGTTAATTGAGAACACAGTCCACAAGTGGAGAAGGTTACGTCTTATCGCTTTTGGCTTACTACTACGCCTCCTTTCTGTTAGGAAAGCTGTCTCCGTCTTTTGGCGGGAATGCGGGCCCCACCCTCATCCTGACCTCCCTCCGCGGCCACCACCGCCATCAATCCTTCTCGTCTCTCTCACATATAAATACCACCGCTCCGATCCCCCTTCTCCTCCGGCGGCACTCAGCGTTTCGCCACTCCTCCGCCGCCTCCATACTCAATTCTCACCTGAGTTCCTAAAACGGAGCCCGGCGAGAAGTGCTGAAAGGTGCTCCTCCGTATAAAGCATCTTCTCGGATTCCGTCGGGAATTGAAGGTTCAGAACCTTTGTTCAAAAAGTGCGATGTTATTGATCGCCGGTCCCTGAAAAGCGATGTCGAAATTGTGCGGCTATTTTGTTGAATTTGTTCTGTTCGCGTTTTTGGTCCGAACGGACGGCGGGGATTCGCTCTCTGCCGACGGACTGTCTCTGAAGTCCGCCGTGGACGAAGGCGGCGGCGCGGCGTTTTCCGACTGGAACGAGAACGACGCCACGCCGTGTGGATGGAGTGGCGTATCCTGCATGAACGTCTCCGGCTCCTCCGGGGAGCCGCGCGTGGTTGGAATCTCTGTTGCGGCGAGGAATCTACGGGGTTACATTCCGTCGGAGCTCGGAAGTCTCGTCTATCTCCGGAGACTTAATCTTCACGGCAACAATTTCTACGGTTCTATACCGGAGGCTCTGTTCAACGCCTCCGCGCTGCACAGCATTTTTCTGTACGATAACAACCTCTCCGGTCCTCTTCCGTCTTCTATATGCAATCTGCCCCGGCTACAGAATCTGGACTTATCGAACAACTCAATTTCCGGAGCGTTCTCGAAGGACCTCAGGAACTGCCGCCAGCTACAGCGGTTGATTCTGGCGAAGAACAAACTCTCCGGCGAGATTCCAGCCGGGGTTTTCCCTGACCTAGCCAATCTGATACAGCTCGATCTATCATCCAACTCATTCCACGGGAAGATTCCGGAAGACATTGGTGAACTAAAATCCCTCTCTGGAACTTTAAATCTATCTTTCAATCATTTTACTGGAAAAATCCCCAAATCCTTAGGCGATTTACCATTCACGGTTACCCTTGATCTTAGGAACAATAACTTGTTTGGAGAAATCCCACAAACTGGTTCAATTTCGAATCAAGGCTCGAATGCGTTTCTGAATAACCCTATGTTATGTGGGTTCCCTCTGCAAAACCCTTGCGAAAACGGGTCAGACAATTCGCAAGGAAACCATAGATCATCACAGGAGAACTCAAGCCCTAATCCCAAAAAGAGGTTTAGAACAGGATTTATCATACTCATATCTCTGGCAAATGCCGCTACCGTGGCACTCATAGGACTAGCAATTGTGTATCTATATTGGAAAAAGAAAGACACTGGAGGCTGTAGCTGCACTTGTACAGAACAATTTGGAGGAAATGGGAAGAGAACCCTATGTGTCTTCCCTTGTGTTAGTAATTCCCAAGACAACGATTCGGAAGCTGAGTCTGAAAAGAATCCTTCCGGCGGTCGTGATAGTGGAGATCTGGTGGCCATTGATAAAGGGTTCAATTTCGAGCTCGATGAATTGTTGAGAGCTTCCGCATATGTGCTGGGGAAGACCGGAAAGGGGATTGTGTACAAAGTTGTGCTCGGGAATGGCACGCCAGTAGCGGTCAGGAGGTTAGGGGAAGGAGGGGAGCAGAGGTATAAGGAATTCATTGCAGAAGTTCAAGCCATTGGGAGGGTGAAACATCCCAACATTGTCAAGTTGAGAGCTTACTACTGGGCTCCAGATGAGAAGCTTCTTATTAGTGATTTCATTTCCAATGGCAGCTTGGCTTCTGCACTCCACGGTAACTTCTGCAACCATCATTTTACTCAGTTTTTCTTGATCTTATTAAACTTTCATACAGCTGCTTTGATTCATCATAAGCGTCCCTTTCTACAGCCATGAGTCTAGGTGAACTTAGGTGGGTATTAACTGAGATCTAAGCAATTTTAGTTGAAGATAAATTGTAGGAGGGTAAAGAAAACCTATCACTTGGGGGAGTTCAAGTGGTAATTTTTAAAGCAATGATTCATATCTTGTTTGAAAGAGGTTTACTGCGGCTGAACAATGGTTTTTCTGCGCTTGCATTTATGATTCATTTCTCAATATTGACTTCCTGTCCTGAGTTAATGTGAGATGTTGGATGGATTGTTTCTGACAAAATGAGGGAAAGGGAATGTATATACGGTTTTGCTTGCTTAAAGGAAATAGTGCTATAACAGGACTGACATTATTGTCAATAGTAGTTGACAGGTAGTTGACACGAATTGAATTTGGAGGACTTATGCCCCATTTAACACGTTCCTACTCAGTTTTGATCCTTATAAAAGCAAATACCGACAAATCTCAGTCAATTAGAGGAAAGCCTTTAGATAAAGATTGGTTTCATTAAAAATTGTTCAAAGAGTAGATGATATTCATTTTATGTTGGCACTTAGGATAGAATTCATATATAGCTGTATGGGACTATGGGTAGTACGATTCTCTAATATGAACTACTAATTTTGCGAAAGGAACGAAACTTTGCGGCCATCACAAACAAAGAAGTCATAAACCAGAGAGAGAAGGGACCGTAGTGCCTTATATTTTTGGTACAGGATAGCTTAGCTTGTACAGTAAGAGTACAATCACCATTAATGCTATTATCCATAATTTGCAAGAGAATAAATGCATCCACGTGCCACCATTAATTAAGTCTTGCTATACAATATTCTAAGGCGGAAGAGTGTCTTAAAATTGAAGCAATAAGGTGATCGAGGCTTTACCCCCCTTCATTAGGAATGTGTCATGATTAATGATGCATTTTAACGGATAACACCTTTTTTGAGCAAATGCCATTATGCCACCACATTAAAAAAGCAAATTTGTGAATTTTGTGAGCTATTTATTTGTGACGATTACTCTAAACCAAACACCAGATTAAATTTTTATGTTGACTTTTGGAGTAAATAACATATTATTATTAGAAAACACACATATATTATATATACTTCAAGAAAAACTGTCTATAGGAAATTCAAAGAGAGCTCTCATGACATTGGAACCCCATGTCAAGGGATGACCCGGGACGCTACGGTGCCCCGTTCATAAAATTGACGGTTCCTACCCCTCTAACCATCCATGTGAACGCCCCCACTCCGCCCGAATACACCCCTCATCCCCTCCAAAGTCAAAATTAACTTGGGGTGCAATTGAAGGGGTGGGGGGGGGATTTACCAGGGTTTACCGGGAGGGAATGGAGGAATCGTCAATTTTACGAACGGGGCACCGTAGCACCCCTGGGTCTATCCCATGACATTACCGGGCAATGTCACATGAACCACCCCGTAGGAAATCAGGAATCATCTTTTGAAGGTCTTAATTTTACATTTGAGTTTTTTTTGTTTCCATCTGAGCTTTTTTTTGTTTCCATCTCAGTTTTTTTGTTTCCTTCTGCATTTTGTAAGAAGTCTGTAGAAATGCATTGGCAATGGGTAGATCTTATTAGATCATGACAAAGCTACAACTTAATTAGGGACAGGGAATGCACACTAAGGTACACACACGAAAACTCATATCTGTGTTTGTCTTTGTCTTAGTGTGAATGTGGTGTCAAATGTTTGGGGTCTCGCAGGTATTTTCGTTTAGTTAGTTGGCCACTCAAATCCAACACTCTATCTAATCCACGTTTTAAATTGTTGTGCAGGGAGAAATGGGCAGCCATCCCCAAACCTAACCTGGTCTACCAGGATGAAGATTGCCAAAGGTACAGCCAGGGGCTTGGCCTATCTCCACGAATGTAGTCCCAGGAAATTCATCCATGGAGCCATAAAACCCTCCAACATCCTCTTAGACAGTGACTCCCACCCTTACATTTCCGATCTCGGCCTCAACCGCCTGATCACTATCACCGGGAGCAGCAACCCTTCGTCCTCCTCCGGCGGCTTCATGGGAGGAGCCCTACCCTACGCGAAGCCGGCCCAACCGGACCGCCCCAACCACTACCAAGCCCCAGAAGTCCCCAACAACAAGCCCACACACAAGTGGGATGTTTACTCCTTTGGAGTGGTCTTGCTTGAGTTGCTCACCGGAAAGACCCCGGACCTCTCCCCCTCCACTTCCGCCGGGGCGACCCATCCCAACCTGGTGGGGTGGGTTAGGAGAGGGTTTGAGGAAGAGATTCCTCTGTCGGACATGGTTGACCCCGTGCTGCTTCAGCACGTGGAGGCAAAGAAGGAGGTTTTGGCCGCGTTTCACGTCGCACTCGCGTGTACCGAGGAAGACCCCGAGGCTCGGCCCAGGATGAAAACCGTGTCGGAAAATCTTGAGAAGATAGGAGCATAAGACGACCATTGATGAGTTTCATGTTCTTTTGGCAACTGTTCATGTCATTCTTTACTTTCATCTGAAATATTTTTAATCCCTTTCTCTTCTTCTAAAGAAAGCCATCTCTGTGCAGTTAAAATGCTCCAAAACTCCAAAGTGATTTTGTATCCATTGATTTAATGACTATAATCCAAAGAAGAATCTATATAGAGTAACCTCATTTTGTACCACTAACATTTTAACCAGTGTGTCTCTTGTTAGGTGTTCATTTAAGGTAGGAGTAATATAAAATCAATGTGCAATTGAAAAAAATTTCTTCATTGAACCATTTTTAAAAGTGAATTGAATATAGTTTGTATATTACCTATACTAGTACAAAGTACAAACACCAAAGAGGCTTACCTGGAGTATTAAGCGGCTCGATGTCGCTCATAGAGTCAACTTTCGAGTTTCATCGTTAGTGTATGTATAAAAATTATCACAAGAGACATGTATCACAATCAGGTGCGGACCTGGGTCGGATCATAATGTTATCAGGGCAAGACTCCGATGAACTATTTGATATACTTGTAATGTGCAATGATCATGTGTAGTCTGGCGTTAGTACTTGTATACTTAATACCCCTTCCTTACACAATAAAATGTGATACATTAAAGAAACAAACGTTACCTGAATTTTAAAATTCTTTTCAAATAGAACATCATTTTAATAAAGATCAAATCAGGAGGACAAAAGCTAGCTTAAGCTTAACGCGTGACTTGGGTTGAGGTTCGTGTGACCCGACTTCTCAAGTTGTGTTGGGTTAAGGAACCTGGGGCATAGGAGACTAGGCGGAAGAGTATCGAACCTGGTCGAGAGCGCACAAGTTGGGAATCAAGAAGGTTATGAATATTATTCCGCTTGCTAGAACCTCTCCTCCCCCCTCCTCCAGGAGGGGTTTATATGTGAATTACAACAGAGGGTTCCCGACCGTTGGTCCGGAGTCCAACGGTTCGGGCCCACTAAGATTTGGTTGTTCACTGGCGGCGTCCGACCACATCATTACTCCTAGGGCTGCTATACAAAATAGGTTACAAGTAGGGTGGCTAGAACAACTCTGCCAGAGGTATGACAGGAGTCCAATCGTAGGCTCCTTTATCTAGACTACCTAGGCAGCTCCCATGTCTAGGTCTGGTACACCTTGGGCCGAGGCCGAGTGCGCTTGATCTGCTCCCTGAAGTCCTTTGATGGAAGGCCGGCTGAGGGTGATCCGAGGACGATCGACCCTGCCGAGGCCGAGCGTGTCCCGATGCGGAGGTGGCCTTCCTAGGGCTTCAGATCCTCCTGCCTTTGCCCAGCTAGGTGGGCCTTGGCATGGTTGGGCTGGGCCGTTTTCCCACTTGGTCAGATACCTTCGTTCCCGGGTATCAATCAGGTTGTATCGATTTGTTAAGCACCTTTAAGCTTAACGGAGTTAGTGTAACTCGAGAAAGTCTCTCAAGAGGCTGGATGTAGCCACACGTTGTGGTGAACTAGGGTAAAATACAGTGTGGTGCTTACTACTACTTCCTTAGGCTCTTTTACTTTATTCTCCTCGTTTTATATTCATGTGATTTTGTTTTAAACGCTATTCACCCTCCCTCTAGCGTTGGGCCTTTATTCTAACAAAATGTAGAATAGTGCAATCAATCACGTTCTATAAAATACTAATTCAAGTACATCAACGAAGGACATGACCGCGTAACTGCCGGATTTTATGCAAGCACAAAAACATCTAGCACATCCAGTCCAGAAACAAAGAATGAAATTAAAATGTATTACGATTGCAGATATATTTCTCCCTATGATACAACATGGAGAATATTTGGATTCTCAATCCAATATAAATGTCCAACTGTTTGACCCTTAAGCTTTCACTTGCCATGTGAGCAATGGATATTTTTTAAAGATGACGATGACGTAAGTGATGTTTACGCTCGAGAAGGCATACAGCAGAGTAAATTTCTTTCCTAGATGAATGCAAATGAAAAATATCATTTGGAAAAGACTTTAACGTATGTTGAGTTCCCCTAAAAGTTTGTATGGAAGCCAGGTAAATAAGAGTACGAACCCCGAATAAAAGGTTTTGCTATAGGCCGTGTTATCTATGTTCTTCCAAGGTATGGAGAATCTTATTATATGAGAATTCTATTGAATATAGTCAGGGGACCTACATCATACAAAGATCTATAAACTGTGAATGGTGTTATTCACAACACTTATCGCGATGCATGCTATGCTATATATGAGATTGCTAGATGATGATAGCGAATACAAAGATGGTTTCAAAGAAGCAAGTGAGTGGTATTCTGCCAATCAATTGTGGTTTTTATTTGTAACACTCCTCACAAACGATTCAATGTCTAGACCAAAATATGTTTAGAAAAAATGTTGGGAATTCATGGCCGATGATATTCTACATTGCCAACATTGTCTTCTAAGTCATCAAAGTACTATTTAACTATAATTAGAAGTTTTATACATAAAAGATATTTTCATATATACTTTTACTCTTTAATGTGTAGGTTTGATGTTAACCAAGGATCAAATCAAGAATTACGTGTTAGACGCTGCTTTATATTGTTTCTTAACATCAAAACACGAGGCTTAGCAAACCAAGGCTAACAATACGCCTTGATTGAGATTGAAATTTTGCTTATATTGTGTGCCAAAAATCTTCGAGACTTCATTGATATGCCTTTCCCTATTTTAGACTATATGTCAACGACCCGCATTAGACTGATTCTTGATGAACAACAATATGATCGCGTTGCAATGAGAGTTGAACCCCACAAATCTTTGGCACAGTTGAATAGCGAACAACGTACAACTTATGAAAGTGTAATGGCTTCCGTTGACCTGGATGAGGGGAAAGTTTTTTTCTTATATGGTTATGGCAGAATTGGAAAGACCTTTGTCTAGAAAACTTTGTCTGCTTCCCTTCGTTCCAAAGGCGAAATTATGTTAAATGTTGCATACTATGGTATTGCTTCATTATTGTTACCTGGTGGAAGAACTGCACACTCACGATTTGAAATTCCAATTAATCCTCATGAAAATTCCACCTATAACATAAAACAAGGAACACCTTTGGCTGGTTTATTAGTTAGAACAAAACTAATATTTTGGGACGAAGCACCATAAACACACAAGTTTTGTTTCGAAGCTCTAAATAGAAGTATGCGCGATGTAATGTATGTTGTTAATCCATCAAATGCTGAGTGGCCATTTAGAGGGAAAACCATTGTTTTTGGAGATTATTTTTGGCAAATTTTACCTGTCATTCCTAAAGGGAGAAGACAAGACATTGTCAATGCAGCCATTACTCATCATATTTATGGAACTATTGTACAGTGTTACATTTGACTAAAAACATGTGCTTGTAACATATGTCTCGCGATAACAATTATGAGAGCATGTCAGAATTTGGGGAGTGGATAACAAGCATCAGTGATGGCATATCTGGAGAGGAAAACGACGGATCGAGTGAAATTATTATCCCTGATGATTTGTTGTTAAAAGGCATGCATGATCCAATAGCAACTATAGTTCATTCAACCTATCCAAACTTCCACAATATCACAAATGATCCTACATATTTACAGAATAGAGCTATTCTTGCACCCACTCTGATGTTGTAGATGAAATCAATGACTACATGACATCAATGAACAATGTTGAAAAAACGAGAAGCTACTTTAGCTCTGATGCAGTGTGTAAGTTTGATTCAAATGCAGATTTTTTTACTTACTTGCATTCTCCATAATTCTTGAACAACATACGAACATCTGATGTCCTAAATCATAAACTAAAGTTGAAGGTTGAAACAATCATCATGTTGTTGAGAAATATTGATCAATCATCAGGTCTGTGCAATGGAACAATGTTGATAGTAACTCGATTTGGCAATCATCTTATTCAAGGTACAGTGATGACGGGAAAAAATGTCGGGCAAGAAGTTGTTATCCCACGGTTGTCACTTACACGTCAGATACAGTATTTCCTTTTAGATTTCAAAGGAAACAATTCTCAATCATGACTTCATACGCAATGACAATTAATAAAAGTCAAGGTCAATCTTTGTCGCATGTTGGATTGCTACTCAAGAATTCGATATTCATTCATGGTTAACTTTATGTTGTAATTTCACGTGTTACAAGGCGCGAAAGGTTAAAGATATTGATTTGCAATAAAGACTTTCTCTCATCTAACCAAATTATAAATATATGTACGGAGTAGTTTATAAAGAAGTGCTCCAAAACTTATAACACTTCATATCGACTATGGTCATTACTAAACACTATTTTTCTTGGATAAATTTAATAAATATTTTGAATCTTTCAAGTTTTGTACGAGTATCATTTTCTGTTATTCTAAGGGGGTTTGTGCGTACTGAGTCTAGTAGAAACAAATACAAGTTACAATTGCTTATTGAGTTAGGATTAATTTAGAAAAAAATTGGTGGCATTTTTGTAAGTCGTTGAGGTCAGCAGCTTCAGCTGACTTCTCAGTTCTCACCGATCATCACTTTCAACGCTCCAAATGACCGGAAATTCCAGTAGAAATGCTCGGAGCAGACCGAAATTGCGGCCGGGAGTCGAAGAAGAACGCGAAGCCGGCAGCGCGACACTCAATTCCAAGCTCAGAAGGAAGAGAGGCAAGGACCAAAGCTCAATCATCTTCCCCGGCGTAAACCTCAAATACCTCTTAGGTTTTGGATCCATTTCCTTCTTGATCGCATTGTTTCTCATTTACCGTTTCGCCAATCTGGATGGAGTGCCGCCGAAACCCCGCGTTATCACTCCACTTCCCGCCCCCAAGCTAATGGATCTTCCAATGGTGATTTTTAGATTGTGCATTGTGAATTTCGATTATTTGAAATCTGAGCGAAAAATCTGATCTGGGAGTTGTAACGTTTGCAGTTTCAAGGAGAACACAAAGAGAGCTTGTATTGGGGAACTTACCGACCTCAAGTGTATTTTGGGATACGTGCAAGGTGATTCTTTTCATTGCTTAACAGATAATTATTCATGAGTTTTGTGTGTTTTTTAACGTCTATTGCCAATGGAGCTAAAATAGTTTCTGCCAATAATGTTTTAGATTAGGAAAAATAATGGACTGAGTCAAAATGGCTTATGACACATTAAACTTCACTTGCTTGTTGCCTTCAATGAAGTTTTGGAAAGTGAATACATCAACACATCAAGGCTCTAAGCCTCTAACGGAAACAACCTCTCTGTTTATTACAGGGGTAAGAATGTATGTGTCTTGACCTTAGGCCTCAA